CTCTTTATAGACAAATGCAACTCAACCATTCTCTTTCTTTCGCGGGCACGTCTTGGTAACTACCTTTTGCATTTGTTTTTTCTATAATTGTCATCGCCTATGTTTGTGCTTCTTATACAACCACTAATGCCCACGATCGTGCTTCTCATGTCATTGATCTTCAACTAATGATAATCATCGTTAACTACTAATCCGCAATTGATAACTATTGGTTAGGTGTAGTGGCTACTTCCAAGTTTTGCAGTTTTTCGACATGTTTCTTCACCTTTTGAACTCTGCATTTTCTTTGAACTTAGAATGACTTCTCTGGAAAAAAAATTGACTTTGCAATAAAGTTTGTCGAAGCCACTTTTATATTTTGACTACTTTTTGGGTGTTTTCAATTTGAGGCTCAAACACCTCCAAGAACTTCCTCGAAATGTTATCCCCTCTTCAACATAAATAAGGCTTTTCTAAAACCCTAAAAACTCCTCGAAATATGCCTTCTTCGTCAAGAAATGAGGTACTGTATTAGATGTTAGATGTAACATCCTTCTTTTCTTTAATAATTTCCTTTAAATAATTTACATTATTAAAAATATTATTAAGAAAATTAGTAATAATTTGTATAACTTTGCAGAAATAGTACAATATGGAAATACCAATTAATAAAATTTAACAAATTATCAAATTCAAAATTTGTCTATCAATGAAATAAGATACATCAAAAGATTTATACATCTATTACATTTACTTTAATTATATCTGAGCAGTTCCTTTCCCACAATCTTTGACGAGTATGACCCCAGAACGGATCAACCATCTCTATCTCCTTTCTTTCATTACCTGAAAATATCAGTAAGGGTGAGTATTTCCTACCCCACTAAGTCCCTTTTATTATAAATTATCTTAAAAGAACTAAAGTTATTACCTAATATCCTATTCAAATTCATTACCAATAGTGAACAACTCATATTAAAACTTATCATATCCAAGTACATGCAATAAGGCAACCATTAATTAGAGCATATACAACAATTCACTCACTATACATACATTGTTAAATTGACTTATATGTTATTATACGTGTATCATATCGTTTCAATTAATATGTCACAATACATGTGTCTCAGTCACACTTGTCGATGTACTACAATACACATATCATAACATCATAAATCGATCTGCATTATAATCATACAATTTTTTTTTACTATATCATATTCATCACACTTTAACATTCATTATCCTATCATATTCATTGTCCTTGGGATCCCTTGAGGACTTCATAACATAGATAGTTACTGGTTAGCCGCAGCAACACGGATACACACGTGTGCCGGCCCAGCCCCTTTTAGCAAAGGTGTAGTCAGGGGTTTAGGTCAGGAAATGAGTGAGGCCTGTGGTGTCTTTTCTCTCTATTTTCATTAATTCTTGCGCAATCGTGGGAAGACATCCACCACCCTCATCTCCTCCAGATTTCTCAATCGTCTCCATCTTCTACACTCCAGTGTATCTCTGTGACTATTTATATTTATTCTATTTCTCTTTCTCAGCATTTCTCATTTCCATATACTTTATATCGATCAGCATGTTATAATATGTGAGTTACAATTGATATAATATCATGGATCACAATATATATTATAATATACCCTTCAGTGTTCTATTATATATATATATATATATATATATATATATATATTGTAATCACCCTTTTTAAGTTATTTTGACCCACGCATCATAATCATGCATCTCATTCTTTCTTAGACATATTCTTTTTCTTTTTCATATATCACATACTTTCGAAATCAATCAACACTTCAATTATTCATGTTTTACTTAATCTGAATACATTCTAGCTATCAATTCATATCTATACATATTGCATTATGTCAGTCTAACATAGAAAGTTGTCACTCACATCATACCATACAATATATCAATATATCAATCTACCACAAATCTCATAACATACAACCAAACAATATGCCGAAAGTCAGACACCTTCAGACTCAGTCCAACTCGTGCAATTTCATAATAATTCACCAGATGTCATATTTTCTCAGTCTCAATAGAATCTTCTAACCTAGAGTTCAATATTTTTTGTTGTTTATTACTTAACTCATATGCATCTCAAGTAACATAATTATAAAATTTCTTAGTGTTGTTCTAGCTCATGACTTTTGATAAGAATTTGATTCCAGTAATTTCAAATGAACTCATAACCTTTCTTTATGCTAAAAATCCACTTTTACCATATAGTTTCATAAAAAATTTTATAGATTATTACTAAATAGGTTACTTTAGCACTCATAGAGTCACTATATATAAAAATAAAAGTATGGCTTAGAAAATACTCCCTTTACCTAGAAATAGATCTCAAAAACTATATTCTTCGTGTGTTCTAAAGAGAAACTCCACATCTCGATCTAACATACTGCCTAAGGATTAGAGTCATTCTTAACATCACAAGGTATATTTCTATTATGAAAAAGAGAAAAGAGAAATAGGAAGGAGATTCAAGGGATGAGCTCTAGAAACTTACTTAGATATGAGAAGAACAGATGTTTGAACTCAAATCTGAAGGAGATCCAGAGTTATTGGAAGTTTTCTCTGAGGATGGAGAGGGAGAGAATGAAGAGGATGGAGAGGGATATGTGATTTGGTTGAAAATGAAGATTTTAGGGTGAGAGTTCTTTAAATATCTCTCAAACTCGCGACTTTCTCGCTATAGCAAGAGGTTCTCACTACAGCGAAAAAACTAGAAATTTTCTTCCTTTGCTATCTGCATTCTAGCTACAGCGAGATTTCCTATAGTTCATATCAATTAAACACTTCTAATTTCAAATAACATGCATAAATAACTAACATTAATTACAATAATAATAAATTACAAAATGAGGGTGTTACATTAAACCACCGAGACAAGGACATCATACAAAAAATATATTTAAAAACAATCATTAAATCTCAAATACATCCTAGATATGCATCAAAATAGTTAAAATATGTCTACTTATTACATCACATATTTTAAGTTAAGTTTGAATATGTCATTTTAAAGTTATAAGTAAATAATTTTATACATAATCTATTAAATAAATTTATCTTGATATTTTCTTTAATTTGCTTGGGAAGTGAAAATTACACTCCATTCAGGACCTTTAAGCATATATTACATTTGCATCCATTATAATAAACATAATTTTAATTGAAAATATTTTTTGTCATATTTTTAGCCATTAGTTTATATTTTTTTTGTATTTTTCAATTTTTATATATAATAATTCTATAAACAAATTTATTTTCTATAATAATAAAAAAGTTAATATACTTTTTTTATAACGGTATAATATTTTTATAAATTTATATTTATATATTTTTACAATAATTTTAGACCTAATAAATAATGGACATTGTTTTACTTATTTTTAATTTAATCTTTATGTAGCATTTTAAATTTATTTATTAAATTATATTAAAATTCATATTTTTAATTTTAATTATTTTTATAAAAATATTGTTATATCATCAAATCATTTTATAGATAAATTTATTTTTATTATTTTTAATTAAAATGATAAATGATTAGTAAACTATTTTAATTATTTTAAAAATTGTAAGCAAAAGGATAAAAAAATTAATAAATTTATTATTTTAATTTGATAACTCACATAACATAACTTTATTGTACTTAATTAGTTATTTAATAAAATTATTTTATTTATAATATTAATCAATATTAATTCTATTAAGTTATCAAGTAATATAAAATAATTTAATTATTTCAAAAAAGTTAATTCTATTTTTTAAAAAATTTAATCAACAACTAAACTTATAAATTAAGAATATATATTGTATTATTATTAATTTTTATTTATAATATTTTTGTATAGTAATTTTACTTATATAACAAAGAAAATTTAATACACTTTTTATTTTTGTTTTTAACTTAGTTACTTTATTTTTTATTTTTATTTAAATTATTATTTTTAGTCTAATAAATTATTTTTAAAAAAATATTATTTCATCCTTTAATAATTGTATGGTAAAAATTTTATTAGCAATTTTAAATTATAATTATTAATGAATGATGTATTATATAATTTAATTTAATAAATATAAATAAATGCATAAATCAAAAATTAAAAGGTATTTTATTTAAATTTTATAACATATTATAAAAATTTATGATATTTAATAAATTATTATTATAATTATTTTTAAAATTTTATAATAATAAATAGTTTTATAAGATCACCAAATTTGAAGAGAATAAAAAATATATATAATTTATAAGCAAAATATTATATGTAAAGAAATATTTTATAATCATCTTTAATATAATTATATTTAATATGATAAAATTTTAATTATATATTTTTTATTTTAAATAAATTAATTTAATAAAAATAAAATAAATTCATGCAACACGGACATATTTATTAATTTTAACGTATAATAATAAGAAACATTTTAAAACTATTTTTGTTAAATATTTAATTCATGATTTATACAAGGAAAAAGTAAAAAACAAAATTTTATATAAGAACTGAAAAAAAAAAGGTTAAACTTTATTTTATATTAGGAACTGAAAAAACAGTTAAAAAGAGGTGCACCGAAAGTGAGTATCACGTAAAAAGCATTGCTTGAATGCCCGAAGTGATAACTAAAAGCTAAACGTCGCCACAGCTCAATAATTGTCGTGCTGTTCGTTACAGCCAGCCTTCAGATAAATGTGAATGCACGACTAATTAAACGGGAAAATCGTCAAAGGATGAAATGTCTTTGTGCTCCCAGCTGTGCCAATAAATGCTACTAATTCAAATTTAGATTTTGACTCTTTTTTACTAAAAAATAAATATAGTTTTTAAATTTTTTTTAAATCAATAATAAATATTTTTATTTACTTTATACAGTTATAGTTAAAATAAATTATATTCTTAAAAGTTGGCAAATAAAACAAAATAAGAGGGATACAACAAACAAAAGATGTATTATTACCAAATTCAAAACAAGTTGACAATTAACCACCTTAAATATTGCCATTATAAGCCCCAAAAAAAAAAAAAACAAAAGAGAGAAAAGAACAGAAAAATAAATGGGGAAGAAAATGGATGAATGGATGCCTATGCCGATGCCACCGTTTGTCCGTAGCATCATAGCCTCGCTGCTAAGCAACGCCGACAACTCCTTCCTCTTATTGGCCCAAAAATACAAACTAATCCAAATGCTGCGTTACATTCTCCTAACCTCCTACGTCTTCTTCCTCCGTTTCCTTCCCTCTGTCTTTCTCGACAAATACGACGCCTTTAAGGTCAAGCCTTCACACAAATACGCACATGACACGCGAAACGATACCGCAATAGGGCGAGTGCTTTCGCAGCTGCTATACACTCTAAACAACATCCCGGTCAGCTCCAGAAAATATCAAGTGGTTCAGTCCCTGGCAGAGAGGATAATCAACGACAATCACGAAAGTGGCGTTCACGCGCTGCACGAGGTCAACCGCGTGGTTCTGTCTGCAGCGTTTGCCAAGACACTGAGACAGCTTGAAACGAGGAAAGGAGAGGGTGAGGATGGAGAGTACTACGCGATGAGGCTGGGGCAAGTGGTGAGGGCGATTGGTTGGATGGTGATGGGAGGAGAGGGGAGCCTGTCAGGGGTGCCGGCGGAGAAGCTAGCGGTGGAGTTGCTGTGGCTGGCTCAGAAGATGGCGGCGTGTGGATGTGTGGAGGAATCTATTTGGCGGATGGCGGCGGCCTCTCGTCTGGGTTTCCTCGCTCTTACCGCTGACCCGCATCTTCAGTCTTCCCTTGTGAAACTTGCAGGTATTCCTACTAATTCTACTTTTCTTATTCTTTTTATTAAATAATAAGCTTTTCTAGATTATACTTTCTTCTTAATTAACTAGGTTATTTCTAGCTAATGAAGTTGGTTTTTGTAAAATCACAAATTAAGGATCTAATTTTCTTAGTAAGAATATGATTTTCGCTTTGGAAGCTAACACACGCTTTTTACCAAGATAAAATATATTTCTTATTTAGCATTTGTAAAATGAATACAAAATATATTTTTTATGTTTTACCTAAAAGTTAAGATCTCCTAAAAGATATCTTATTGTTTTTAAAAAAAAAAAAAAAACACACCTTTAAGTATGTTACTTTTTAGTGGTTCAAAAACATTCGTCTTGAAATAAAATCTTGAGTATTTGGAATACCACTGGAAGACAAAAGTCGGACGATATAGACGTGACTTGTGAAAATATTTTGCCAAAAAGGGGTGGGAAGAGATAAAAAGAAAAAAAAAGAAATGAAATATATATAATAAACAATTTGACAAAATAAAAAAATAAGAAAAACAAAAATGAAATATGAGAGGAAAAGTGCATAAAAAATAAAATAATTAAAAAATATTAGCGGCAGACATCACTCCTAGCAAGAGGACAAAAATATTATGCATTAAGCTTGTTATTCTAACTTCTAGCAATCAAGGTCACACGGCTTTTTCTCATCTTTGCAATATGATTCATGGTGCATACATAAACATTGAGCTGTTTATGAACATTATAAACAAGAGCTCATTAATATTCTCTAACAATTGGCTTTACGTAACCATGTGAATATCTTAATGAATATTACACATCAAATAATTAACTTTAGGTGAATCATCCAACACATTCACTGATGACTTACAATTGGCTTGATTTTCCTTGCAGCATTCTTGTTAAAGGAAGCCAAAGATGTGGGCCTAGATGAAATAGAGGATAGAAAGATGAAGCTTCATATGCAAGTCAAGTTAAAGATGTTACAGTCATGGCTTCCATTGTTGTGCAGGGCCAGCAGCAATGGCGCTGATGCCCCAGCATTAAGCATCAGCGAGAAGGCTGAGTTAGAGAAGGTGTTGGAGGACATTATAGAGGAGTTGGAACAAGAGGAGCAGGAGCAGGTTCTTTCCCTTTGGCTCCACCATTTTACACTCTGCCCCTCCTCTGACTGGCCAAACCTCCATGCATGCTTTGCTCGTTGGTGCAGTGCATATCGTAAGCAGTTGTTGCTTGAATGAAAATCCAAATTAGAGAATGTAGATGCCTATGCTTTGCAATTCATATCAAACCATTATATTTATCCGGCTACCCTGTAGTTTTCAGATAGAGATAATGTAGACATTGATTTTATAATTAAAAATGTGGTATCGTTTTACTATTGATATATTTGGCAGCTTTAACTTTTTGAGCCACTGCTAGGTTGGTTAAAATTTCACATTAAGGGGGATATGGAATTTTGAACAAGGGTTGTCGTCCAGTGGTGCACTCACCATGTTATTCAGATTGCATTTAAGTTAAATCCATTTAAATACCCTACCTGATGTGCTTCCCAAAATACAGTTGGATAGAATTTTACGTGAGGGAAAGAGCTTATGGAACCAGCTCAGTTGTCAACTCTTCGTGGGTCACTCTTTCAGAGCAGTGTATAAGAAATTATCATTTTCCGATCCTCATTCATACTGTTCGTTAACATTTTAACTATGCATTCATAAATTCATCTAGTTAGCTAGCTCCTTTGCAGAGGATCAGATAAGATTTGATCTACCTCAGCAGAGAATTAAATAATAAGGTTAGGAAGACAAATTCAACAATGTAATTTAGATAACTCACAAACAAGTCCTTGCTAAATAGCAATTATTGAATTATATAGAGCAGCGGGGTTAGAATCTATATCAGGAGTTTACTGTTGTATAGAGGAACAACTAGTGATTGGCTCGCAGAGTGAAGCGGACAGTACTTCCCCATTTGAAGCCAAATCTCTCCAACATCCCTTTATCTGCTCATCCCAATTTGACATTATTCTTTTTCTGCCAACAGGACTAATCTCATCTTAGAAGTCTTTTTTTTTCCAGTGCTACAACCAGTTATGTGTCACATTACAATCGATTTTGAATAAATATCAAATTTCTCAGAAGAAGACAGTTGTGACTCCTGCAAACAAAACCCATTTAGGATCATTCATATAAGCTATGACATGTAATCAATATATTAGTAAGGGAAAGGAGTAGATTATATATGAGCAACTGATGTAATACATGAGCATACTGCTGCCTGGTGTCCAGAGTAAGCTCTTGATGATTTAGGCCAAAGGTTCCTTCTTTAGCCCCACGGATTATAGATCGCATGGAATTAAGCAAACGGCCATAAGTTAAATTAGGTTCATCTTGCATGGCTTGGATAAAACTATAAGTCAAGGCACCAACACTTTGCTCCACGCCACTAAAGGCCTAATCAACCAATTAAAGCCTTAAAGGTTATGATAAAATCTGTTGCATTCTGATTCACATCAACCATTGGAAGGGGTGAAAAGTATGCATCACTAACCGATGTGTCTGCTGCATTTCCATCGTCATCACAAGCCGAAATGCATAGTGCTAGGCCTCCTCTCGTGCCTTTGTAACCAGCTCTGGGGTGTCTATGATCTTCCCATCCATAATAACCCTTTCTGTTTGAACTCAAAAAAAGATCAGATTCATTTTACCAATGTAAAATGTAGTAGCCTGAATAGGTTTCTTAATTCGCTCAGGACAGCATATAAAGCATTCTTAACTAACCGGTTCATTCTGCACATAAATGGTAAATCAAGAAATGTTCCACTAAAGCAAGTATCAACAAGGGCATGAAGCTTGGCACCCCGAGGTAGGGGCCTAACAATTGTAGCATTGATTTCATCGTCGAGTATCTTTCCCTCGTGCTCATAATCAACCGGGCATATTGCTTCATCATACCCATCAACCTCGTCCATGTTAGTGTCTACTACCTTTGATCCATGTCCAGAGAAGTGAAACACCAATGAGTCCCCTGATCGGCAACCCTCAACCAACCACCTCATTGCCATTCGCATGTTATGTTTTGTCGGGATGCTAAGTGAATTTTTCTCCTCTGGATCATCTACAGGTCGTTTCTGAATGTCACAAATAGATACAACATAGATAGAACTAGAAGAATCAAGTAAATGAGATCAATCCTGCGCTACTGGTTGGATATTAGCAACTGAATCATATCAAGATTTGCAGCAATATAAAATATGATACATCTGACAACAACGCAGTCTGTTACAATTACCAGGTCTGTTTAGTGGACAAGATGCGATAATTTTCCCATCTTGTATCACCAGGACATGATATCATAGTCCAAATTCTTATTCGAAGTGATGAGTTATATGATAATTTTTTTATTGCATTTTTATTCATATTTTAAATTTTTATAATATTTTATAAAAAATATTTTAATTATTCTTAAGGAAAAGTATATTAAAAAACATTTGTAAGAAATTATTTTAATCATTTTATAAATATATTTTAAATTTTTTTATAATCTTTGGTTCGAATTATAATTTATAACCTAAAATTTTAATTGTAAAAAATTAAATAAAATTATAATAATGTAATATCAAATTTTAATATTATATTACATAAAAATAATTTTTAATTTTCAATATAAATATATATATATTAAAAATTTAGAAAAAAATATTTTATAAATTATATTAATTTTAATAAGGATAATATTGTCATTTAAATATATTTTAGTCTATTATTTTTAGTTTATATCAAATATTAAAAAAATACATAATATTATCTCTTTTACTATCTTAATAAGATTGAATATAAGATAATATAAGAGTTTTTTTATCGCTTATTATGTTTTATCTTTATTCATTTCTTTATTCTATTATTTCCTGTTACATGATATAACTAAACGGACTCTGAATTTTCAATTTTAGTATATTGATTATTTTTTTTCATGATTTTGGACCCTATATTAAAGTAACTAGAGAATTTTAACATCTTTCACTAGCAGTACTATACAAAGTTTATAAAAATTAAGCATATATTTAATTTTATAAAAAAAATGATAATAAGCATTTGTTATTAATAGTTGAACAGCATGAACCTGTGAGCATGCGAATGGAATCAGTAGGGAAACCCAAGTTGTGAACGAGAAAGTATTTCATGCAATGCACGTCATTCACGGAACCTTTGAGCCTGTTAACCCGATTACCATAGTTAATGCCAATTAACACAGCCCTCTTGTTGCCATACGGAGAAGGAGGGTTCAACGGAGGATAATAGAATTGGTTACGTCTTCCATAGCCATAATAATCACCGAAGGAAGGTGCATTTTTCACCAAATGATGATTGGGTTGTAGAGCGGGGAAGCCTTGGCATCCACCACACTTAATGGAAATGTTATAGGCTTCCAATGGCACTATCATTGGCCTTCGACACTGCATGCATCTTCCTCTTCGAGTTGCCATGTTTTGCAGCTTTGGAAAAAAGGTTCTTAGCCAAATCAATGAAGAAGAAAGTTTATATTTTAGGAATGAATGGAGAAATCTAGTCGGTGACCTTCCATTGGAGGTGTCACCATTAAATTCAGAATGACATGACAAAGTAGAATCACATTCTATTTGCCTTTACTAATTGATGGCGAATCTCTCAACCGCCACCGTTCATTAAAATAATTAAATTCGTAGATGCATATAGTTCTAATGGAGAATCTGTCAAGTCTGAATTGCTAGTATGGGGTTTCAATTATTTTGGTTTCACTCTAAGATCACGTTTACTTCAGTGCTGTTAATTAGTAGTAACTTCTGTGATAAATCTGTGTTTATAGGTTTTTTAACTGTTTCCAAATGCATACTTCATGTTACTCCAACTGGTAGTTTAGTATGCATACATACATATATCGTTATATTGACAAGAAGAGAACCTAACCGACCGAAGCACATCTGCATATATTATATTATATAGGTAAAATATTCGGATAAATCTTCTTACACGTAGAACAATCACCATTAATTTTAGATTGACAGAGACAATGAAGTTAGTAGTTTACTTAAAAAATTATTAATATTTTTTATTTTTAAAAAAATAATATATATTATCTAGAAATTGAAGAAAATGATTTACTTGATTGGATGGGATGTGTGTTAAAAAACTCTAAATTCAAATTTAAAGATATAATTAATTTTGCATCTAAACGCAAACTTTGCGTTTGGATAAATGTGATAAATTGTTAGAAAAATTTATATTAAAATTTATTATAAATTTACTTTTAAATAAAAAATTAAACATAAATCATATCACTTTTAAATAAAATTAATTTCTAGAGAATTAAAATACGTTGATTCAAATAATCACAGTCGTTGTGATTGGAGTGTGCGCACATATCACAGCAGGCAGCAGCATATGCTAATGCAGCATAAAAAGAAAGGGAAATAATAAATAATATTATCGTCAAGAGCACTTGGTCGGAAGTATCTTGTTAATGCATTAACCTTTATTTAAAAATTTTAAAATATAATATCAATATTAAAAAACTTAAATTATAGACCTATTAAAATTATGACGACATGCAAAGTAATTTAATCTTAAAACTAAATGTTTTTAATACAGCAATAAATACCTCTACGCGTAGGCGAGCTGTTAGTTCCTATTGAAACAAATAATTTGATTTCTCTAAACACAGTTCATGTTTGGATTGAGTTAAAAAATATATATATAACTATTTTTTTTTTTTCAGCTTGTAAAGGAATTTTGAAAGAAAAAAAGATTATTTCGGATAATAATGCTGTGAACTACTATAATCGAATTGAATAGCTATAGACATAGCACCTTGGTTGTGAATAATCAAGTTCTTTCCGGTTCATTGCTGAAATAAATTAGGATTCCAGTGTTGGTAATGTCGATTCCTCCGTAGCTAAGAAGAAAAATGGGAAGTTAAATGTTAAGAACAGGGTTTTGGAATGCATCTACAAACGACTCCTTTGATATGCTTGTCACTGTAGAAAAGTTAACAATTAAATCCCATTTTATTCAAATTTGATTAATCTGAATTATTTCATCTAATTGCTATTGAAAGCATATACTAATACTATTCAGCTATCTTTTTCAGCAGATTGAACTTTTTATTTTTATTTTTCTATTTTGCATTTTCAATTTAAGTTTTATCGCAGTGTCTTCTGTAACAAATCAATCGTTCCACACTGTGTAGAAATCAGCCTCTCAAGCATTCTAGCTTTCTAGAGTTATTGTTGGGCAAAGAGTTATGATGAATGTATATTTTTAATTAAATTATTTATGATTTTGATTATTCCAATAAAATTTTAAATAAATTAAAGACTAGTAAATAATTAGGGGTGTTAAAAGTGTAATGGCTAAAAGATGGATACTGAGTTAGATTTTTTAGTCTGTCCCATTTAAAGGTGGACTGACCGTTAATGGCTAGCCTGATAAAAAAAATGTAAACAAAAAAAAATTAATGAGTCAATGGGTTAATTTATCTAAAATTAATAAAAAAAATTATAAAAATATTAAAAGTATTTTTATGTTAATAAAAATTAAAAACAATTTATAAATAATTAGATTTTAATTTTAAAATTAAAAAATAATCTGATAAGCTGACCTGCATTTTAACATCTTTAATAGCAATATAATCATGATAATAAACTAGCATAAACAAAAAATTCACTCACAACAAATTTCAAACTTAAACACTTATATAATTTAATAACATTTCATAAATGAAAGATTGACCAATGCAATTGTTGATCAAAAAGTTTTTATTACATAGATCAATTTTATAAAATTTTATAAAAAACTAAATTTATTAAATATTTCATTGCATTACTTTATTTTAATGGATAATATTCTTTTAAATACAAATAAATATCAAATTTCATAGAATATATTTACAAATATCAAAATTACATAAAATTTAACATATATAAAAAAAATATAAGATTAATTAACAATTGGATTAGTCGATTTTATATTTTATAAAAACTAATTAGATGGTGTAAATACCTAATTTTAATATCTAATGGATCTTCACTTGTATAAATATTAGCTATTTAAAAATATAAAAAAATATGTTAATAAAATATAAATAATTTATTAAATATTTTATTTTATTTAATATATTCTGTTGTGTGCGTGTGTGTGTGTATATATATATATATTAAATTGTCATATTTACTTATTGTATCATATGCCATGTAAAAAACCATTATTGAACTTTATCCTGAAATTGCAGCAAACGTGCCGGATTCCTTTGCCTGAGTCATAGTAGAATCAGAATTTCAGATGATGGACGGGGGTGATTGATTTAGGATAGAAAGAACATACACTCTCAGAGTACTGACCCATCCCAATGTTACTGTTCTACAATACAACGTTTTAATGACCCATTAATAGACTCATCAAGGTAAACTAATCGGCAGAAGATGGATAAAGTTTGATCTAACTCAGCAGAGGTAAAACGAAAATAAAACACTAGTTCAACAATAGTTTACATAACTCACACGTCCTCAATAAATGCTGTGTGTAAATCAGACATCTATATGAGGTTACACTTGGGATTGACTTGGAATAACTTGTGGTTGGTTAGCACAACGAGAAAGTAGTATAGTGTAGTACTTTCCTGTCTTGCTATCATTCTTGATAACACTTTATTCATCTTTTCCCATCATGATATCATTCTTTTTCTTCCAACAGGATTAACCCCACCTATTCCTCGTATCCATTTTCTTTTGACAGTGCTACTAGTCTACTACTACCTGTTATGGTCATATTGCAATAGACTCTGAATAAATATCAAACATCTCAGAAGATGACAGTTGTGGCTCCTGCAAAATCCATTTAGAATCAATCAACTTCATATAATCTACGGTATGTTAAAAATACATTAATAAGAGCTTTGTATAGAGTAACTGATGTAATACATGAGCATATTGCAGCCAAGTGTCCATGGCAAGCACTTGGCCATTTAGATCAAATGTTCCTGCTTTTGCCCAATGGTTTATAAAGCGCATGGCATTGAGCAAGTGTCCATAAGTCAATTTAGGTTCATCTTGCATGGCTTGGAGAAAACTGTACGTCAAGGCCTAATCAACAAATCAAAATCTATGTTTTGAGAAACGCTCCTTTTTTAATTTCTAACTAACTCACATCAATAATTGGATTGGAAAAATTGAATGCATTACTAACAGATTTGTCTGCTGCATTTCCATTATCACCACAAGCTGAAATGCAAATTGCTAGCCCTCCTTTTGTGCCTTTGTAACAAGCTTTGGGGTGTCTATGATCTTCCCATTCATAATTACCTTTTCTATTTGAACACAAAAGAATCAGATCCAATTTAATAATGCAAAATATGATTCATTACAATATATAGCATTCTCAACGAACCTGTTCATCTTGCACATAAATGGTAAGTCAAGAACTGTTCCACTAAAGCAGGCATCAACGATGGCATGAAGTTTGGCACCACAAGGTAGAGGCCTAACAATTGTGGCATTGATTTCATCGTCAAGTATCTTTCCCTTGTCCTCATAATCAACTGGGCATATTGCTTCATCATACCCATCAACCTCATCCATGTCAAGTCTCTTCACCTTGTCTTTCACCCTTGATCCATGTCCACAGAAGTAAAACACTAATGAGTCCCCTGGTTGGCAACCCTCAACCAACCACCTCATGGCTTTTCGCATGTTATTTTTTGTTGGGACTCGATTTTGCTTCTCTGGATCATCTGCAGGTCTTTTTTGAATGTTACAAATATAGAAAGGAAGAATTGTGATCTTTCAAGGTCTCTGGTTTTAAGCCTTATGAAACATGTAATTTCTGAAAGTTTTAACCATAACAAGAACAAAAGTTGTCTAAAATTTATGAAACTTGTAATATTTGTTCTAAGTACCATCTAAAGCATTATAAAATGTGTTGGCTTGGGATTGAATAAGTACAATAAACATTAATAATGTCATATTAGTTTAAAGCAAGTACCTGTGAGCATGCAAATGGAATCACAAGGGAAACCCAAATTGTGAGTCAGAAAGTATTTCATGCGCTGAGCATTATTCACAGAACCTTCAAGCTTCGGCGCCCTTTTAATATAACTGATTCCCATTAACACTGCCCTCTTTTTACCATATGCAGAAGGAGACCACAATGGAGGTTGTGGTGGAAACTGAGGATAATAATAGAATTGAACAGGACTCCCACAGGCATGATAATTCATGTTGAAATTGTAGGTGTTGAGATGAAGTGATCCATTCCCATCTCCTGTAACATTTCCTGAATTATTGATTAAAGCTCTATCATTCTGTTTGTCACTGCCAGGATTAGCAGTGATCATGGAAGACTTAAACTTTTGTTTGGTGGTATCAGCAGCATAATCCTGGTTAGGCTTCCATATGACATTCTCCCAAGTGTTTTTCATCCCAATTTCCAAGCATGCAGGCAAGGTAGAGATATTAAATGTTCTAGTAATACCCAGTTAATCTTAGTTGAACTTAAATTATGATTAAATTTACCATTTGACAGATGGGTTAGGTAGCCTAGACAATGAGGAACCTAAGTGAATGAGGTGGAGAATCTTACAATTTTGTCCAAGATAAGATTTACATCTTTCTCTTGAATTAGCACTCATTAAAGCATCAAGAACCAGATGCTTCAAGTGTTGTTTGTCTGGTTGTGGATGATCAATGTAGCTTTCTAGTAAGTTTTTTTTTTTTTTTAATTATATTGGCTGACAAACTGAGTCTGTCTGTAATTGTATAAATTGCTTATACCAATTTTTTGCAATATATTAGAAAATAAATATTAATAGGCGTGCAATGCAAGTCAGTTTTGTAAAGGTTCTTGCTCATGTCTTTATGCCTTATGCCAATGCTCTATAGAATTCGCCTACTATTGAGGAGGAAATATTTCAAGTACATACTACAGTTATGAGAGTTATTGACCTAATAGATTCATCTTACGTCACCGGGAAGAAAATAGTTAAATTAGTTAGAGAGACAATTCATAGCTTTCAAGAAATTATTCTATTCTCAGTTTTCTCTGACAATATTAAAGAAGTAAGAACCGAATTTTTATTTCAAAGACTTTGTTTTTTGTTGAAACCGGAAATGTAGTGACATTTTTATTTGAATCCTTCCTAACTGTATGGTGGATATCCAAACGAAAGGAATCTTCTGAAAAAATTCTGAAATCATGGGAAATTTTTGCATATGATGCGGTAAAATCCCCTTTCAAAATAAAAATTATATGCTTTCAAATTTCCATCCCATATTAACCCAATTGATTGCAGAGGTGAGAGAATGACGGCAAAAGGAGAACAAATTCATTGTCTGAATCAGTTACTGAAGAGACATTTTTGTGAATGCAGGGTTCCTATTTAATAAAACATGGCAATAACTTGGATTACCACATCATGCAATGCTTGAAAGTTAATGCAAATATTGGCCAGATTAACTGGAAACAGCAGTAAGTACTGTTCTCCTCTTTAACTTTAAAAAAATTGTGTGTCAAACTCAAATCGAAGGTGCAAAATGAAAAAAAGGGGGAATTGTTAAGTCAGAAACCTAAGATTACTTATAATACCATGGATTATTGCATGGAGAGAAAGGAAAATAAATATCATTAGAAATGAAACTCAAACCAATTTTATAATTATCAAACAAATAATCTAGCATAGTAGTCCAGACTTTATTCTATCAACAGAATCCCATGTCATCATGAATTACTTCTTCTATCATGAAATAGATATGATGAATAGCCAATAATATTCTGTCCTGACCTTAGCAACCAATTAACAAATGAGAGAATTGTCTTTTCCAAGTTTCAGCGTACATGCTCACAATTTAAATATCTTTTTAGAAACATCAAATTTCGCAGACGATGATAAAACAGGGTCCTGCAATCCACCAAAGAAAATGATTCAATTTCATCGGAATGATTCGAGTTTTGGATGAGTTGGATATACAACAGACATATTTAATGAGGAACAAATGTTTGTATAAATTCTTGATGCCACAAAGTGATAACATTTAGCTCCTTTCTTATTTGCTAGATGACGTATTTAATAAGATTATGTGCTTTACAAATTGAAAAAGAAAAATTATTGATTTTAGAGAATCTAAAACTTTTTTATCATAGTTGTTCATACATTGTACCGATATTCCCCTGCTAACTTCTTTGAGGTATATCTTATACAATGGAAGGATAAAATCCACTTAAACTAACTGGACTTTTGATTTTGAAGATTGTGTCATATATTTTACACACTGCATAAAAGTTTTAGATTATTTGGTTTGGACAAAGAATGCATTTGTACGATGTAAAATAATGTTATGCCCAATATTGAAGGATGGCTCCTAGTGAAGACAATTGGATAACCACTAAACAAAATCTTAGATTGATATCACTTATAAGCAATGGCAACTAAGGAAGATGGAAGCCTACCTGGTCAACCTTACGATTGAAAATGCGTTTCAAGAAGCTGTTATAGAATTTGCTTTGGTGGATCCTTCCAATTTCGTCATTTATCTTTTCTAGTAAAAGGCCATATGTTAATTCAGAATTTTCTTTGATTACTTTTGAGAAAAGATAGGTCATAACACCATTCGTCCCTTTTCCACCAAAAGCCTGTGCAGGTTGGTCACAACACACAATTCAAGTGGCGAACAAATATCTTAATTGCATTGCATTTCCTCACAGGGAGGGGATAGATGAAAATGTACAAGATTCTTACTGCAGTATCAGCAGCCATTTGACCATCTTCACAAGCACTGAGGCAAACAGCAAGTCCACCACTTGTATGTTTTACAATAGGGTTTTTGCTACCGGGTTTGTTATCTTTCCATTTCCAACTGCCTCTGAAGGCATTTAAGAGACCAATTAGTTGACATTCAAGGGATAAGATAGAGTGAGTTTGGAACAGAAGCTTGAATAAAATCAGATGGAAGAAAGCATTAAGTATGTACTTACTTTTCTTTGTTGTAGACATAAGCAAGATCAAGTGCTGTTCCACTATGACAAGTATCAAGAATAGCATGAAGTTTGACACCCTTCTTGAGTGGCTGAACAATGGTAGAATTTATTTCATTGTCAGTGATCGTTCCTTCTTGCATAAAATCAACAGGACAAATAGTTTCATCAAGTCCATCAAGTTCTTCTCCTTTGTGATATTCTGTTTGTTGCAAACCATGTCCAGAGAAGTAAAACACCAACGAGTCCCCTGACTCGCAGTCCCTCACAAGCCACCTTAAGGATTCCAGTATGTTCTTCTTTGTTGGAAATAAATTGGGATCCTGCTCTTCTACAATTTACAAGTTTTAGAATAAAATTAATCTGTCTGTTCCATTACTACTACCAAATTTAGCATTTTTTATGCATGTTTAACACTCATGCACAGGAAAAGTTGAAGATCTGATGAAAGAAGGTAAGAGACATTACTTGTTAAGTAAAAAAAAAAAAAAAGGGGACCTGCCTATTTGTTGACAAAATTGGTTCAACAAAAATAGCAAGAAATAGTTTTCAATACAGAAATTGATACATCCACTTTCTAGTCATAAGAAGTATCAAATTATTGTTCAGAAGGAGTTTTCAATTTTATTTCCTTATGCATTCAAACAAACAGGAAACATGAAGAATAATGAAAATTGAAATGAACACATAAAATTCACATACCACATATAGCAAAAGATTCTAAGAGATACCTGTGAGGACACGTATGCACTCAATTGGGAATTTAAATTTATCAACCAACAGACTTTGCATGTTAACAATGTCATTAATGGTTCCCTCAAGCTTGAATTTCCTGTTCCTGTAGATAACTCCACATAGAACTGCACGCTTGTTACGATCTGTGGACAAGGGCGAGGAAGAACCTATAGAAGGAGATAATCTACTCAGCAAAACTCCATTTGCGTTAGCATTGTTAAGTTGATCATGTTTGAACAATTTGGATCCACCATCCTCCCTTGATTGCTCATAACGTGAAAATGAATAGCTAACACCTTGACATTTATAGCAACGGTATGTAGTTGTGGCTGATGGTACTAGAAACTCTTGTTTGCAACCTGTGCAGGTAAGTGTTGCTTCCCCAGTACGCTTTGAACTACTACAGTTTGAGAGAACAAAGCAACGAGTTGAGGTAGTGTTTGTGGGAAGAAAAACACTCTTTCTGCTTGTTCTGGTTTTAGGTTTAGCATCCATTGTTTGAAGCATAGCAGGCCAAGCTAGAAGGATTTATAAAGGAGAGTAGTATGAACATTAAGCAAGTCAAACGATGCTGCTGGATTGACAATCTTCACCTTTGTTCATCCATTTCCCTTTATGCTAGCAACACAGAACATTCTTTACACACTTCATAGGATTGATTTATTTTTTTAAAAATCAAAAGAACATTTAAAAAGTGATAAAATATTGATTTCTTTAAAACAAGTGTATTGCTAACATTCCTCTTAACAGCAAGTAACGTTGGCACCAATGTTGTCTTTTGATAACAGGAAGCCAAATAAGGAATACGAATCCACTGTCGGTCAATGCTGAATGCTCACTCACTCTTATGAGGAGGATAATTTTGGTGAGTGGAATACCTGTTACTAGTGGCGCATCCCATTTGCGTACGTATGCTTTTATACATTATTCTCAGTATAAATCATCTAGAACCTGATGCTCCTAACTATTGCTTTAGCTGCACAAAACTGCAACTACTTTCCATATTCTTTTTTCATTTCAAAATAATCCTAGCTCTTAATTTCTCCTTTATAATTGTTACATAGCCCTACATATATTATTCATTATGTATTATACGTTATTTATAAATTTTTATTATTGGGATGTATAACATTATATATTATTTAATATGGATTTTATAAGGTGTAATTTCGAAATTTTTCATTTCATTTCTATTTCGATGTATAATTTTTTTTCTAATAACTTATAGTTAGAGAAGAATAAAATAATTACGCATAAAGACTTGGAAGATCAAAGAACTAATAATTTCTTCTTCAAATTATCTTCTATGAATTTGGGAATGCTTCCGCTTTAATCTTGATCAATATTTTTACATGAAAGTCTTCTAATTTCTTCCGGAATTCAAATCACTTGAGAATTCTTGCTAGAATTTGTTAAATCCATGAATTTGTTTGAATTTGATGTCTTCATTCTCCATTTTTGTTGATTTTCTAGTTGTTGGTTTGCGCTGACAAATCTATAAAAATTGAAATAGATGCTTTTAATTTAGTGGATTCACGAGAACAATGATTTTTTTCATTAATTTTTTTTATTTTTTTTTGTCGTTCTGATTCGAATTGAAGTGTTTTTTTTGAGTTCATATATTTGAAATTTGCTGTTTAACTTTTTTGTAACCGGCATTTTCAGTTAATTCTGGGAAACCGATTCTTCGAATTTAAATTTCTATCGTCAATACGCGACAGTACCATGGGTGCGGCTGCGAAATTAAACTTTTTTGCCTGTTGCCTGTCTTTGGTTCAATACTCTATTGTATTTTCCTTCTAATTTCTTATTTTATGCTTCCAAAATAATTTTTCATAGATTTTACTAAATATATTAAGATCCAATAAACAACTACCATGCCCAACTATCTCTATCTATTGTGACATGTTTGGTTTTTATTAATTTAATTTATACTAAAGTATACGACCATGAACATTTATTACAATAAAATTTAAATATTTATTTATTTATTTATTTTTGCCCATAGTATATTCATATTTTTTAGTGGATTAATTAACGCAAGTTGCCATCTAAGTGCTCTCTTTTATAAAACTTTTTCCATAAAATAATCATTGTTGTTTTGTGTATGTCATGCGAATATTTAATTAGCTCAAAGAAAGATTAATACTTAGCCGAATTATGCATATATTTACAATAATAAATATATGAAAACCATATTATTTTTAACATGTGAATAACAATTACGACAATCTAAAGATGGTTTTATTATTTGGTATAAATTATGCTCAATTTTTATCACTGCAACAAGATTGTTATTTTATAAAATTACTATCCAAAAATAGTATTAATGTTGTTAATGGTATCTCGTGATAAATTTAATTAATTAAATTTATTGCTAAAAGTTAAAGAATATGATATCAGGGTCCTAATTATTTTACATTCTTTTTTTTTACTTGTTGTTTCTTCTTTACTTACCAATTTAAGTTCTATTGCCATATTTAATAGGACTAATTTCAAGGAATAGAAAAGAATTAGTCAAATTGTTTTGGGTTGCATGGATCTAGAACTTGCATTAAGGATTGAGCAATGTGTTTCTCTTACAATTGCAAGTTCTTTTGATGATAAAAAAATTTTGAGAAGTGGGATGGTGCAAATTGCATGAGTCTGACGCAACATTTTAAAGGCCTTAAAGGTGTGGTGTTTGAAGAAATCATCAATACTAAGATTTTCTTACTAAATTAGAAAAATATTTTAAAAAAACCGATAAGGTAAAAACAAGTACACTTTATGCTTGAGTGCATTTGATCCTAATATCTATTCCAATGCAATACAATTAATTTAAGGTAAGAAGAAAAAATGAATTCTTCAATTTCCTATCTAATGCAAAAGGAAGAAAAATTGAAATATGATCAAATTAAAAATGTTAATTTGACGATCACCTCTAAAGGTAAAGACATAAAGAGAAAAAGATTTAAGGTTATTGGGAGTTTAAATAAAAAAAATTATCATAAATAAGTGTTTCTTTTGCAATGGCTATAGACATTTAAACCAGGAATGTGCTAAGCATCACACTTAGTAAGTGAAGAAAGTTATTCCACTTACTTTGGTTTGTTCTAAAGATAATTTAATTTTAGTATCTAGAAATATTTAGTGTAGCATCCTCTCTTATTTTAACCAGTTGTTTGTTATTAATTATGTGTGAATTGTATTTTAATTTGATAAGTCTTTAAAAATAGCCTGTTGTAGAGGGTATCGTTCAAACGAGCTTGAGCGTTCTAGACCAAGAGAGATCCCGGAGCATTCCTTTACTGTAAAAATTAGTCATTATATAAATGCAAAACTTTGTTATTCCTTTATTGTATAAAAGTTTAAAATTTCAAAAGTAACATTTTTTAATATAAAAACTTTTTATTGATAAAACATTTAATATATAGTTAAATTTTTTAATTGATAAAAAAGATTAAAAAAAAAGTAACTACCAATGAAATCACGATTCTAACTATTTTGCAGGAAGGAACTGCTCCATTAGTCAGATAAACTTGTAAGTGGAATAAATTATAGAGCAAAAATTGAAAAAAATCGTAAAAAATGTGTACCCTAGGAAACAAAAAAAATGCTTAGCGCCAACTATATAGTCATAATCTCTTCCTATTTGTTTTTTTTAATTTTCTCCCTCTTTTTATTATTCATTTTTGTCTTTATTTTTACTAACACAATCAGCCTTGCTTTTGCTAGTATCGCTTCACATAAAACCATGTTAGAATACGAGAAATAGAGACTACAAAGAATTACATAGAATAAAGCAAAAATAGAAAATTTGGGATTGTCTCAAATGATTGTATTCTTGAAGGGTTTAATTGAGAATGTCAAGATCAAAAAATTTAATATGAAGATAAAAAAAATTAAGATAAAGAAGATAAGAGTATAGGCATGAATATGATGAAGAATTTAGATTAAATTCTTTAAATGAAAAAAAAAAGTAACAGAAAGATGACAACTTTACTATTGAAAATGCTCATGGGTCACAAAAAAGAAAGATACACAACACAACTTTTACCGTTAAATTACTTATTTGTGAAAAATCTTTTATTTTCTTGATTTTGAATAAGACTAACAATGTTCTTCACAGTCATTTAATAATTTAATTTATATTTTCTAATTTATTTTTATGATTAATTATTGTATTAGCATATGGTGAAATCATTGGTATTGAATTCTAAGAGAGTCTTTAATGATCAATCTACAGTTCTTGAAAAACAAGTGAACAAGACTCAATTTAATGTTGCACCTAATGACTCACAAGTGATTAATGTTGAACAAACTGAATAAATGCAGGTATATACATCAGTCTTTCTTTTCTAGAAAAAGTTAAAACATTATTCTTGAAATTATGCTATTATTTTGTTTATTTATTTCAAGCAAGCAAAATATTAGAAAAGGTCGTGAATATACCATTCATGCAAAACTCCAAAAGAAGAAGGCAAAGAGAATGGCAAAGGGAAAAACTCTTGATATTCAATTTCCTTCACCATACTACAAACTTTGTGGAAAGCATGCAAATTTTAAGTTTGAAAAACTTATTTGTATACGCTAATAAGCCCCACTTGAAGTTAATAGTTGAAAAGAAATATCTGAGGATGATGTAGATTCAATGTGGAAATATACGAAGATTAACATTACTTCACTTATTTACACATATAAATATGAAAATATTATAAATTATTATAAATTCTTTTTTTATGCATCATATGTCTCTACACCTTTCCCATAATTCTTTCAATTCATCAACTAATGGCTACAAATAGACACCAATATCATTTCCTGGGGCTTCAGAGCCTAGAATAAGCAATGACATTATGAAATAACTGGCCACACACTATATGTAGTGCTCATAATTCCATAAAGATTAAAACCATTACTTGCTAGTTCAAGCCTAACATTGCGTTGATCTACTGCAAAAGAAGGATATTAAGAGTCAAAACTCTTCCAAGTCAAGGAATCAGCTGGATGTCTCATTTTTCCATATTCAAATGGTCTTTCTTTATGCCACCTCATTTTTGTAACAATATTTGAGGACATATATAATCGTTGTAACCTTGGTGCTATAGGAAAATAACGCAAGACCTTTTGGGGCAATTATTTTTATTTTTTTTATCTTTATATCAAGGATCGCCACAAGTTAAACAAGACGTAGATTTTGAATAATCACCTCGATAAAGTATGCAATCACGAGGACAAGCATATATTTTTGTGTAATCAAGCCCTAATTCACGAATAATTTTTCAAGCATCAGAATAAGATTCAGAAACTTTATTACCTCATGTAAATGCATTTGTCAATAAAGAAAGTAAAGCATCAATTGATTTTGCACTCATACCAAACATACACTTGATATTTAATAGTTGTACTATATAAATGATAACTTAGAGAAATTGACGCAGCCAGGATATAATTCTTCTTCGGCATCCACTAATAGTTTATAAAAGTTACCAACTTCTTTATTTATTTGACTGATGTTTGGATTGGTCATATAACTCGTTTCCTTACTTTCTATGATGATTTCAGTGTTGATGACATTTTTGAGATCA